GAGAGAGAGGTAAGGAGAGAGAGAGGAGGGGAGAGGATTCATGCTTCATGCTGGCCGTGTGGTGGAGCCCCAAGCTTGGACAATTCGTCAGCGCCTGATTAGTTTCTCAGGGCACATGGCCGAAGGTTACTCGAAGTCCCCTGCATAAGACGGCAACAAGAGCAAAATAATATGCCAATCTACATGGAGAACATGTAGAGTCTTAAGTCCAAGCAATGACATTGTCTCCTTCCAAAAAATGGAGACAGAGAGGGATTGGTTTGGCGAACTTGTATGAGGCCTTCAACCATTGCTATTGTTTCAGCAATAGTGGAGTCAACATGCCCTATGAATCTTAAACAGGAGAGGAGGATAACTCCCTTGGAATTCCCAAGGAATCCACAAAATCCAGCAGGTCCTGAGTTCCTCAAGGAGCAGCCATATATATTGAGCTTGAAATGATCATTCGCATGGGCGAAACTAGGGATGACAAAAGTTGACAGAAGGTGCTTGAAGGGACAGCTACTAAGTAAGAGAGTGGCCCCAAGATGAGCTAGATGGGGTAAACACATAGCCCCTTCAGAGGTTTCTGACGTTGTGAGGCTAGAGATTGCAGGGAGAAGCTTTGCCCTTGAAGATCCAACTGTTTCATTCTCTCCATATGCCCCACAATAATGCCAACAGTAATGCTGTCCACAGTAGTCTGCCAATTTTGGGTATGAAGGGGACATCACGGCCTCAGAGATTGTGGCAGGTTTGTCAACAAAAAATACACAAACTCACAACATAGAAAGAGGTGTTCTACTGTTTCTTCTTCTCTTTTACACATGATGTATCGGTTAGGGAGGTGGTGACCCCCTTTCTGCAACTACTCGATGATCATTGTCCAGCCCGAGAGCAGGATCCAGCCAAAGGCTTGGCCTTAATGAAGGACCAAACCTGCCAATGCCAAACATTGTGGCGAGTGGGGTATGCATTTCGGAGAGGTCACAAAGATAAGTAGAACAAGGAGACCGAAAAATTCCCCGGTGTGAAGACAGGGACCGAAACGAAATTATCTCGTCTAGAGTTGGCGAAGAAGCCCCAGAGAGAATTGATGGGTATAAGCCGCTGACATGCCTCATCCACAAGGACCACTAGGGAGAACAGCAACCAAATAGTTTCATTACCCCTCAGTTCTACAACATCCCCCCACCGAGATGTCCTCATTCCTTGTCACAGCAAGGAAAGGCCACCTAACTCCCATGGCTTGTACCCCACCCACAAATCCTTCCAGAATTGAATATGCAGTCACCATGCAACCATGAACCTGCTGTTTACCTTGAATGCTTGCTGATTCCTGGTATCACTCTTCCATGCCCCTGAAACCGTATAAAGGAGACACCTGGGTAGCCAACCTCCATCTTCCACCCCGTACTTTGCTAGAATGACCTCTTACCACAGCTGCACATCTTCTGTGGCAAACCTCCACAACCATTTCCCCTGTAAGGCTAAATCGCTTTCTCTAATCCTCCTAATAACACACTTATTTTTCAGTAAGCAAACCTTATTCTAAGCAATATGGTGGTACTTGTGTTCGTTATTTCCATAGGAAACTTTTCATTAGTCTTTCTAGATTTGTTTCAACTGACGAAAGCATACGAAACACAGATATCTGGAAAATAGGGATATTGGCTAAAGTGGCTTTGATAAGAGTTATCTTTCCTCCCAAGGAGAGGAACCTGCCTTTCTAGCCAACTAATTGCTACGTAAATTATTAACATATTACCCGAAGGTGCCACCTAGGCTTACCAAATCAAAAGGGAGCTGCACGTATACATTCCATCCACATCCCAAATATTGCGCTAATAAATGGAATTCCTGCAATTCCAACCTATCCCCCACCAATTTCATTCTACTCATGCTCGTAGCAAGCTCAAAATCTCTAAGAAATATCCATATGTTATCAACCTAATGTCGCCAAGAATTTCAAAAAATTATGCCAACATCTGCATAAAGAAGATGATTGATCTCTGCCCCCTAGGCTGTATGGAAACCCTCAAAGGAGAGTCTGGACTCATATAACCTGGAGATTGACTGGGAAAACCTCCCAAATCAAGGGGAACACGAATGGCAATAGGGGATCTCCTTGGTGAAGACCCCAGGATGCTTTGAAATAGCCTTCAGGCGGCCCATTAATCAAAATAAAGAAGCTAGACTACCTCATACGGGCGCTACATCCAGTTTCTCCATTTCATGCATAAATCTACCATAGGCAGTTTCATCTAGCAGAGACCAATCTGTTAAGTGTATGGAACCATGTCAAAGTTACAAAACTAGAAATATTCTCTTACAACGGACTACACAAAATCAAATACAACACAATTAATGACATGACAACTTTTGCCTTCAATTACAGCCACTTAAAATTGAATTATAGCCCACATAATCATAAAGCCAAGGAATACAACTCTACTTAGGTCCCTTAATGAAAGTTCAACCAAACTATGCAAGGGGATTGAGCACAAACCTGTTAAAACTCAAGTGCCATAAAATTCAGCACCATGCAAAATACAATGGCAGAAGTATACATCAATTCCAAAATACAAATACAATCTCCAAAATACACAATCAATCATCCTCTCTATGTCCGTTTATGACCAAAGTCTTAACAACATACCATCGAATGACTATCCCGATGGCAACAAGAATCCGGCGAATTTCACATCATCTCAATGGGAAGCAATTAAGCATCATAAAATCCACACGTTTGTATGGAACTTTTAATCAAGAGAGGCTCAAAAATTTGGCACAAAATTCATGGGAAAAATGTGAGAGAGGCATAAACTTCAATCAATTTGGTGAGAACTCAAAGAAGTTTGGGCATGGGAAATTTTTGGCATAATTTCCCCTTAAAATGTCACTAAATTAAATCATCAAGGGGGTGATTTAATTGATTGATTTGGATCAAAAAATGGCATAGAAATCTGAAGATTTCTCAATCCAAATTTCTCCTAAATGAACTCAAATAACTAGGAATCAAGGGCTCATAATCTACGATCAATCTTAACCGATATACTCATGAATAAAGGAGGTAAAGAGTTATGATACCTTGTAAATTGAGAATTCTAGCCACCAAAAAGCTTCAAGGATGCATGGCTCGATGAAGAATTCCCCCCAATTAAATCACCAAAAAACTAAGGTATAACCGCCAAGCTTGAGATGAAGCACAAGTGGAGCTTCAAGCTCAATTTCTCTCACTTAGTTCTCACTCTTCACTCTACACTTTCTTACCCTAACCGTCACACAAATGAAAGAGAGAGAAAACCAAGGGCGGCGTGCCACACTAGTGAGAGAATGAATGCACAAATGAGCAACCAAGGGAGTATTTATAGGCTAGCGTCGAGATGCTTCTAGATGAGTTATTTTTGGCCATTAAAATAAGTTATACATGGTATGAGAGGGCTTGATCCTAACCGCTCATCACTCATCATGTCATCTTGATGAGTGGATGAGATTTAACACCATTATCCTCCTAATAAACCCTAAATTCACTCCTAATATCCTTACATTAATCTTAAATCCATATCAAATTCAACTTGCTTCTAGAAATGTTCATGCTAACTCAATTTAATAAAAATGAAGAAACATAAGTAAGGGCATGCCCGTTTAATAATTTAGCATATTCTAGAAGCAATTTGAATTTAATAATTCGCTCCAATCCAAGTCACATTGGTATGCATGTACACCCAATCATGATGCCACATAGGATAAACAGTTATATGCATAATTCCATGTGGGCTTAAGGTTTCAATCATAATTTCAAACCCTATGGGCCTTCTAGAAGCGCCCCCCCCATGTGCACACAGAAAACAAATCCTACACATCAAACATGTAGTCAAATTATTTTCTCATATTTCACAGAATTTCACATGTCACAAAATAATAGGAGTCACAATCACACAAAAGACAATCAGTCTCGCCATGGGCCTTGACATCATCAACACATAATTCCCATGTCGTTGTGATGTGATGCCATCTCAGACCCCACATGGCATGCATTGGCCATTTAGGTGTCACGTGTGGGACCGGGGGTGTCCTTGTGTGTCATTTCCTTAAAACAAATCTCAAAACCTCAATATTAACTCAGACAAATTCAAAACAATCCCCAAAAAAAATTCCAAAAAACCTTCAAAGCATACTCCATCGTAATTACTAAATTTCGCATCATATTAAAATATTAATGACGAAAATTAAGATCATATGGATATGAATTGGGCAATGGAGTACTCCACGTAGCAAGACTGAGAATCAAAAGTAACCTCAAAATGACCCAACAAACCCATGACCCACATTGTCAGGTAGGGACTCCTACTTGGCATTTTCAACATGTAGCTCAGGACTCTCAGGTTGTAGTGGATTAATGATCGTCTTGGATGATCTTTGGTTGTCGATTTGTTTATTTTGGGTGTTGATTTGAGGAAGTTTTCGCAAAGTTTTGATAACAAATTGAAGATTTCAAGGGCCAAGAAGAAATCGATATTTTCTTCAAATAATTGGTAAGTTTTTATTTCCTAGTACAATAATACTTTTTTTGGAGCAATGTCTTCTTCACAATCTCCTAGTAACAAGGATACGGCTTGGAAATGTGCAAAATTAAAAAATTTGAAAGACCAAAATTGTGTTATTTGTACTCTTTGAGGAAATACTTATATGGGGGGTATTTTTGGGCAAATCTATCACAGGATAGTGAATACAAAATCTCCGATAGCTGATACTTTTTGAGTTAATGAATAAATCAAATGCCTACTATCAGATAAATCACCTTAATATTTTTTCTCATGCATTAACCTAATTTTTTAGATTTTATTAAATTTTGTTATATTTATTGACCGCATCGGGGTGATGCACCCACATCAAGTTGCATCACCACATCCAGCAATTTAAAACACTGGTTCAAAGAATCATGTATAGTCAAAGCCATGTTGACCATACCTTATTTATCATACCAAGACTGGTACTACTACATTGATTGTATATGTGGATGATATTGTTTTAAATGGTAGCCGCATCAGGAAATTCAGCTACTTAAGAGTTATCTTGTGAGAGAATTCGAAATCAAAGACCTAGGTTCATTTAAGTATTTTCTTGGAATAGAAGTGGCGAGGTGTAAGAAAGGAATCTTTATCTCCCAAAGGAAATTCATATTGGAACTTCTTAAGGAGACAGAGTTCAACACTAAACCAACTGAGACTCCTATAGAATAAAATCGCAAACTTGATCGCCAAATGGGTGAAGCTCTTAAAATACATTTCAAAGATTAGTGGGCAGACTAATATATCTCACTTACATGCCCAAACATTACATATATTGTGAGCATGATTAGTCAGTTTATGCATGCTCCATGGACTACCCACCTTGAGGTTGCTATCGAAGTCATCGGGCACCTAAGATCATCACTGGGTAAAGGACTGTTGTTTACTAATCACTGGTTCTATTATGGACTAAAGATCAACGGCAATTGCACTTTCGTTGGAGGTAACCTTATAACTTGGAGGAGTAAGAAGCAGTCAGTAGCTAGATCAAGTGCATGTGAATTACTCTGGCTAAAATTTCTTTTACAAGAACTTGGATTTCCTGTGAAGGGGTCAATGTCCTTGTATTGCGATAATGAGGCAGCTACAAGTATTGCTCACAATCTGGTCCAGGATGATAAACTCAACATATAGAAGTGGATCGACATTTTCTAAGAGAAAGAGTTGCTACCAGAGAAATCTGTCGGCCATATGTTAGAACAAAAGACCCGCTAGAAAACATTCTTATGAAGGCTGGCCAGAAACCTAGATTACTAGTGATCTGCAGCGATGCATGACTGATATCTATGCACTAGCATGAGGCGAAGTGTTGTGAATACCAAATTTTATATTTATTTTTTCTTGTATTTAAGTTCTAAACCACTTATATTTCTTTTCTCCTTTCATAAGGACAAATTTGTCTTTCTTCCTTTCAAAAGGGTAATATTGTACTTCAACTTTTATTGTTATTATTCAAAAGTTTAAGTGGGGTGTGGGAGACACCACCTTGACCCCGCTCTCATTCTCTCCTCTTCTCAATATAATTCTCTCTCTCTCCCTCAGTCCTCTCTCTAAAACTCTCTCACCCTCTCAACCTCAAATCTCTCACTCTTCTCTGTCAATTATCTACTTGTTTGTTGTATTTTTGTTGTTAGGAGCTCTAGGGCTAGCAATGCCTAAGAAGAGGAAGGGGGTATGTAGCAGGGGCTGAAAGGGTTGGCAGCAACAGAGGAAAGAGGGGGTTCTCCTTGGAAAAGACAGTGGAACTGGAGGGAATGGGGAAAGAATGGGCTTTCCTTTATTTTACTTTTTTTTTGGGGGGGGTGGTTTTCTTTGGGGGGGGTTGGGTTGCCAGGTGGGTGGAAGAGACTAAATGGGGCAAGGGCTAGGTGAGTTAGGTTTCTATCATCAGTATGTCACTGAGCCAGAGTGGGGAAAGGAAAAGGGGTTGATTGTAAGAAAGGGAGAAGGAAGGGATTTAAGGGAAACACCAGTCTGGGTCCATTAAGTGTGGGCCTTACCACTGTCTTCGTCGCATTGCTGTGGATTCGTTTGGAGGGTTTATGGGGAAGACCAGGTGCCACGTGAAGTCCAAGCTGGCAGGTTTAATTAAGGGCTGATTGGGTTCGGCGGAAGTAAAATAACTAACAAAGGGGCATCTGGTGGGTGCCTGGAGGTTACAAGGATCGTCGATAGGTCCGTCAGGACGAGAAACAATATATGGTCGGGTCTCTAGCTTGAGTCAAATCTTCAGCCCCTAAAATTAAATCGCTCTGACGGGAGGAGGCTTCGGGTCCCATCCTTCCATCAACAGATTGGGACAGTCGGCCAAGGTGTTGTAATTGATGAGTGCCCACTTATCAGCTCTCAGTAGCAACCACAATAGTGTTGGGAATTCCCCATGCTGGCACAAGGCTAGAAATGAGGGCCAGTGGCTCATAGAGGGGATTGAAGCAATGATGGTAGGGTATGGAGAGGCAATAGTTGGAAGGTTTGGCAGGGGCACACTTGTCCTAGGATCAGGGGAGGTAAAGTGTTGTCCCCATCAGCTATGGAAGGGCCTGTATTGGGATGTGGGAGGGGATCGAGATGCCTTAGCAAGGCAAATGCACCTGGAGCATGCATTAAATGTTGCACAGCAAAGGCGGCGCATGTGATACTAGAAGGGCTTCGAGCCATGGGAGATTTGACAAGTGGCTCAATGTAGCTGACAGATGCATCGTAGGCTGAAAAGTCTAGGCAGGGATGCAGCTGATGTGTCAACGGGGGGGTATTTGATTGGAGGGACGGTTAAGGATAGGTAGGCAATAGGATGCTCAATTGGGGGACACGTTCTAGTCTCACAGAAAAGGATGATGCTTGGCCTTTTTTTTTTTTTTCTTCCTTTCCTTTTTGGGTTTTGGGGGGCATATGCCTGGGAAGCTTTTGATGTCTGGGCTAGGGCTATGGTTTCAAAGTCTCTTTGAAGCATGCTTCAGCGATGGGGCATGTGTATGTGCCAAAACATAGATCAAAGTCCAAGATGTCATGTACGAAACATATATAATGGAAACACTAACATAATGGAGAGACAAACAACATCTAATTCTCCATGTAGAAGACCTCAGCAAGCAAACTTGAAAAATAAGGAATAGAAGAAAGGGGGGGGGGCAGTGATCTTGAACTGTATGAGGTTATGAGTGCCAATTCTGCATTACCAGATCCATTGGAGGGCATGCATTAGATGGTATTGGATTTCTTCTAGTTTCTAGCCAGCTTGACACACGATAGCTACAATTGGATGGTAAGCCAATGGCTCTATAATGAAGACAATAGATGATTTAAAAACACACTAAAAAATATATTTAGTCATCAGACCTTTGGAAACTGTTTTTCTTACTCTTATGTGCAATCTTCCACGCATATATGTAAATGAGTTCTTTGATCGATTCAGATTGCTATAACTTTCCCTTCATGCAAGAAACCAATGTCCTTTAAGAACATAAAATGCATATAATCTATCAAAGAATTAGCAAACACCACATTAATGGAGAAGATAATGCTGGAATTTGTAACACTGTGATGTAACCAAATCCATTGTTCGAGATACCAGTACACAAAAAGCTTGAATCTGACCTTTATAGCATGGAAATCGTGTTTTCCACAAGCATAAAGTAACTTCATACGTGATGCATGCATCCTATAAACAGGATCTACAGCACATGGATTCATACTGGATGCCTTGCTGTAATATGAAAAAGCTTCTTCATATGTATGGCTCAGCTTCTCACAGAGCTTACCCAAGTAGAAAGCATGTGACCAATCTGACCTGCAAAGAAAATGTTGGGAGAAGTAATACCAATTGTATACACAGAAAAAAAAGTGGAAGAAAATAGTTGCATTGATTTCAATTACTTGTATGCAAATGCCTTCTCAAAGTGTTTCATTGAATTTCGGCAATACATTGTCCATGTTTCATCCCTCACAGGTAGAACACAGCGCTGATCATAAAAGGGCACAACATTCTGTAGGCTGTCATAGTAGACTAGAGCTAACAACTCATGAATCTGGCTCTGTTAAAAAAACAAAGATTACAACACAAAGCTACTAATAGTAACAAAAAAGCTAGCAAATATTGCTAAACAACTTCCATTCTTGAGGTCAGTAAATATTAGAGGCCAATCCATAAACAAAAACCTGCTCAACAGGAGTTTTTGCTAGAGCCAGACTCATTAACAAACAGCGACGACTCCTCCTACGGCTGGCTTGAACTCTCTGGGGTAGAGTATCACTTCTCCTCCATTCAACAACATTTATATGCTTACTCCCATCATTCAACAAGAGATCAACTTCCTATTTTCAAAGCAAAAAGCAGCAAGATGAAGGCAGGCAGCATAGGACATGTCTAACCATTAAAAAAATAGAATATTTCTCCTACTTTATATCTTACCTCATCATAAATATTTGCAAGCCTCTGCCAACTCTCAAAGCGGAAGGGGTTGTAAAGTAAATCATACTTAAAGAGGTTAGCATTTTGCTCAACAAATTCCTCCCCTTCCTTGGTAAGAACAAACCCAGGCCATTTATCAGTTGCATTCATTTCCTCAGCCTGAGCTAGGAAGTAATACAAGTTGCCATAAACGTCTTGATAAGAATCCGAGCTGCAATAGAACATTTAGAATAACAAGCATACAAATCATCATTAGAAAATATGAAGACCCCAAATTTATGGTTCTAATCAACGATTCATAACTCATTTACAACCAGTGTTACCCAACCCTCCACAAGGGGCATGGTATAGCGGTCGCCACATTTAGACATGGTCCTGACCGTGACCGTACATGTCAGGTGATGTCACTGATTCTGAGTACCATATCGCCAATTATATAGAATTATGTTCCATTTGTGTCATCAAATTCAAAGTGCCCAAGCAGTAGTGTGAATTTATATTGTAGAAAGGTCATGAGTTCGAGCTCCACCCAGTCCAAAACTTGATTTTTTCTCAACATTATTTTACACTTTTTTTTAAGTTAATCAGCATCAAAACGTTGCAGAGGGGTTTGATCCCATGATGTTCTGTTAAGATGACATTGCCAAGACCATCAGGTGCATGCAATTTATTTATTTTTTAAAATATTGGTGTATAGATTGTATTTATTTTCATTTACAAAGGAAAAAGTTGACATAACACTATAAAGATGTGTGAAAAGTATTGATCTTTTTTCACCTTCCGTAGTTGACACTCTAGACACACAGAGACAAAGATACACATGTCGGTATCCATGCAACACTGTTTACACCTAAGAAAAATTACCGAATAAACTCAAGTTCATCAAGTTGCGTTGTTTTAGAAATGAAAAATACCCAAGTTTTTGTTATATAATGCGTTTGAATTTTTTAACACATTAAAAGGCATTTTGTAATGTGGTTTGACTTGGTGATACGCTGGCTACAATCCCATGAAAAACACTTCCCACTTCAGAAAAAAATGACCGCCAATGTGACAAACTCATCCAAGATATTCCAAGTTAACTGTTTAACGAGGCAAGTTGACTCAGATTTGGCAGTGAACAAGTCAACCACTAGTTGTAAGAAAATTTAAATTAACAGGGTCTTAGAATATGGATGTAGAACATTCACCTTCCAATCAGAAATGCCTTGCCCGATTGAGTTGCATTTCGATCCGGAAAAACAAATGTAATGATTGATTCCACACTTTCACAGGAAATCACCATTTCACAGAGCTTACATTCACTTAAATCAGGATCATCGAGGAATCTATCAATAGAGTGTTTCATCAAGATATCATCAGGGGGATGTGGAAAGTGTTTATATATGGCCCTCAATACTCTTCGAAGTTTAACCAAACCAGCTCTCTGAAATGAATAAGAAATATCAGAAGAGAAATGAGAAAATAAAGGGCTTTACCATTGTTAAAAATATTGTAGCATCAATCTCAAGCAGCCAAACCAACAAGAACACAATAAAAGAACTTACTGATGAGGCCTTTGCATAAGGCAAAAGATATCGGAATACATCAGCACATTGTTCCTTTGATTGATATTCTCCACGATTTGTGTTTCTATGAATGGCTAGATCATCATCATCGGAAGCATCTGGACCACCCTTAAGATTTAAACCATATAAACAGAAGAAACATTGGTCTAGTGCATTATCTATTCCCAACTCCACTTTATTCCTTTCAGCATCTAGGGTAACATTTCGCATATCAGCACTATGGCTATCAATTTCTTTTAATTTGTCAACTCTTCCATCCTTCCCTTGTGCTTCCTCCACTTTATTCATTGCAGCATCTGTGGTGAGATTTCCATTATCAGCATTACAGCCATCAGTTTTCATTAACTTATCGCTAATTCCATCTTTCCCTTGGGCTCCATCCTTTTCCTTTTCAGATGCATTCAGGAAGCTCTCTATAAGCAGAGCATTTGGAGGATCTTGCTCAATGATCATTTTGGTTTCATGCTTCTCCATTGAAGTAGCCTCTATATCAATGGCCTCATTCTCCTTTCTTTCCAAAAAAAATGAACTTGTAGGATCAGAAACAGATAAAACCTCAGAACCTTGTGCTTTTTCCTGCTTTCTACTTGAGGAGTGAGAATTCGATCTCAGCTTTACATCTAATGCCAAAAGATACTTAATTGCAAGTTTGAGAAATGCCCCTTCTTCACCATCGCCATCTTTACCAGCACAGCATAGGCCATATTCAGCAAGCAATTCATGCATTGCAGCAATCAGTTCCACCTGAAACGTCAAGGAACACCAATAGTATCATGACCTCCAATTAAAGCACGCGAAAAGAGATAGCACTCTCGTAAACCAGCAGCAACTTACTTGACTTTTAGCAGGGTTGTCAGGATCAAGATGCTGAAGTTTACAGAATGCAATTGCGGACTCCATAAAGCACTTCGTTTCCAATTGAGCATTATAATCCGTTCCTACTTCAGATGATTTTTGATAGGTGAAACGTTGACACAGATTACAAATGATCACCAACAGAAAATACTGAATATCACCAAGTAAGCCAGCGGGGGCACTAAATTTCTCCTGCGAAAATGAATAATAACTTGGTTTCACAGAACCCCAATTCAAATGATAATGGTGAATTGGTGAAAAAGAAAATTATTCTATGATTTGCGAGAAAGAAACTAAGGATCCCAAATAGAACAAGTGACGGGTACAGTGAATCACATAAGACATATTCTCACATGGGAGAAATATTAGAAAAAGCATATCAAACGCCTATACAAACACTCCCCCCCCAAAAAAAAAAAAACAACATTAATAAAAATAAATAAAAAACTACAAAACCAACCCCCCACCCCCACCCCAAAAAAAAAAAACACAACAAGAAAAAGAAATGCATAACTGTAATAGAAATTAAAGCAGAATATAGTCAAAAGAACAAAAATCAAATCAGAACATGAAAAGTATATATATTGTAGTTCTATAAGCTACGCCATCATTTGTTACAGAATATAGATAAGGTATAGTTCAAGGAAATTATGTCATTTTAAACTTTTCAACTACCCGAATTGTTTATGTATCAAAACTAGATGCAGAAGTATGTAAGCACATTGGACCAGTCTTACTAAACAGGATAAATTTCTGAATTCCCAACTAAACATAAACAAAAAGAAATGCACCATCTAACTGTCCAATCAGAAAGAGCAACTAAATCATCAACACTTACAGATATACCACTCGTTTCATCCATTTCATCTTTCAAATGGGATAAGCATAGGTATATTGCATTAACTTCCTGAGCAACCATGTGATTCCAACACTCTCTCATATAGAATTCTGGAGCTTCTGGTTCGTACGAGGGATCCACCACATCACCATTTGGCTTTTTAGGAAGGTTACAAGAGGCCACTGATTCTAGAATACCGGCTGCGACAGAAAGTATATGTAGCTTCCTTCGATGGCAACTTAAATACACTTCATTTTCTAAGGGAACTGCATTTTCACATGCAGAAATTAGAATATCTAGTGCAGACAATTCAACTGATGCAACCCCTTTTACACTACTGTAAGCACCAAATATTTGGTCAAGGTATATATCTTGAGCAGAAAGCAACAGTGGAGAGAACAATTTAGCCAACCCGGAATATGATTCCCTAGTCATCGTTTTACCACCCAAATTCCTCAACAAACTGTGCACTTTCAACAGATTAATCTCGTGCTGAAGTCTTTCAATGTTTATGGCTTTGACAAGTTTACAATGAGGAAGTAAGACCAAAGGCAGGGTCTCCTTCATATTTCCAGCATTTTTCAATAGGGACAAGGCTCTCTCAAATTCTTCATAAGCTTTCTCATCGTTGCCAGAATAAGTCAACAAGCGACCACTTAACCAGTGAAACCGAACCCAGAAGGAATTATCCAAGGGTAAGACTGAATAATCTATGACAGTTGATTCCTCAAAAGACTTACTTGCTGCTAATTCATTTGAGTCTCCAGAGTTATTCTGAAGAGTGCTCTCATTTGAATTTCCAGAGTTGTTATCATGTTGACATTTCTTATTTGAGTCTCCATAAGTGTTATTCTGATGAATGTTCTCATTTGAATCACCAATGTTATTATATTTGATGTTGTCATTGGAAACTCCACAGTTGTTAATCTGATGGGTCTTTTCATTTGGATCTCCATAGTTGCTGTTTTGCTTGGTGTTCTCATCAAAACGCACTTTCAAGTCATTCTTGCCCACTGGACGTCCGAAAATAACCTTAAGATTTTCTGAACTGAGGGCTGAGTAAGCAGGGATATCTAAAGAAATGAGCTCAACGACTTTACAAAGGTGATAAAATGCCTCAGAGAAGAGCTCTGCACGCTTGGACTCATTTGCAGAACTAGAACCAAGATCGTAATACACTTCTGAAAGAAAAAGGCTGCACGCAAATGTCCTATCTTGACTCCAGCACCTAGTCAACCTCTCCAACTCCAGCAATCTGAAAAAGAAATCCTGAAATGGAAGTTTTCTACATGCAACCTCTTCAAGGAGCATGTGACTAAGATGATATATACCATAATTGCCGGAAACCTCCATAAAGAATCTGCTGATATCATTAACACCAAATTCTAAAGTATCCATAAGGAGAACAGTATTTGTCTGATTATAATTGTAATCCTTTTTCTCCAATCCAACAACAATAAATGGTTTCAGAATTTGAAAAGCAGCCTCTGCGCGGTTTTTGCTTAAGGGGTAATCCAGTTCTTCTTTCTCAGGTTTTCGACTTCGAAGCCTTTCTAGACGAGTACTTCGCCTCTCTTGGGGATGCACTTCTTCATCTGTACTGCCTTCCTTTTCTTTTCCATGAAATATTTTTTCAGGGTTCTTCTCGGCAGTGGATGATTGATTTCCTGCTAATAACATACCCATACCTTTCCCAATAAATGGATCCCCAACATTTTCTGAACTGGAAGATACATTTATCCTCATTCGCATATCTGTGTACCTTCCCTTCATATTCAGGTCATCAGTTTCCCCCTTTCCATGCAATTCATTGTTCCTAGAAGGAAACTCAGCACTTCTACTTTGCTTTTCATTTATGGGGCTATTCTCAGAACCTTTAGCACTCAGTGGACGTAAGATTTTCAAAATTGCATCCACAAGAGAGGACAAGGATGCCTCAGGCAAAAGTAATTCTACAGTCTGATTTCTCTTTTTCTTTATGTCAGCCCCATCATATGGCTCATCAATAGATTTTCTCTTGTTGGGGAACTTTAACCTAACATGCTTTGGCTCCAGTCGATCAATACCACGAGGTGCAAATGGGATTCGCTCTGATTCCTCAATGACAGTTTTCACAAGCAAAGCACGAGCATGTGATGGCCAGTTCCTCAGTATCAAGTTAGCCACAGATAGGCATGAAATTTCGTCCCCAATAGCAATCAGCACTTCCAAAAGCTTTTCCATGCAGTTCCCTGCAACATGTAGAATCATGAAATAAACTTCTGTGAATAATACAATCCAACTGACTAAAGAAAAAATGACCTATTAGATCATCGACATCCATAGACATGATGGGTAGAGATGGGAAAACAATGGGAACCACCATTGGGGTTAGATCGTGTTCTGGTGAGTCCTACTCTCTCCATCAGCATCCATCATCTTAATGGATGGTGATGACCCAATGGACTTTTGAGTTTTCCATTATCCACTAGATGATAGTATGCTTTCCATTCCAGAGAGTAGCCATAAAAATTGAAATTTCATGCTACAATCAAGACAAAATGGGTCACAACTACACCATCTAAATCAATGATGGCATGGCTACAACACAAGGTGCCAAGTAACCAGGGAACTCATGGCACTAGAGAAACCTTAATGCAAAACATCAGAAAAGCATTGCACCGATTCACAAACAAAATTTTAAACCAGAATCCGCATTCCTAAAGAAAAATTTACACAAAAGGCTACAATAAACTCCTTACAGTTGTTGGGACTGCAAGAAAGCCCTTGTTCAAATGCCCAACGTGCTATGCTGAGCAAGCCAATGTAACATGACAATGTCCCCAATTGATTCCAGACAACTGAATCTTTTGTATCAATTTCAACAGCTTGGAGATAGCAATTGATTGCACTCTCATAATGCATAGAGCCTTGTTCTAGGAACACAGTGGCTAAATTCTTTAGAGCCAAAAACCTGCAAACAAACATGATGGTGTTGAAAACCGATGGCTTAATTCTGAAAATGCAGATGTAAGATCATTTAATAATGATACTAAATTTGCTAAAGAGGGATTCCATTAGGCAGGAGAGCATTTGTAAATCAAATTGTAATTTTCAAGAAAACAAAGATATAAGAGTTGTTGAATTTATATCTTGATAATGAAAAGCAAGGAAAGGTGGTCTAAAAATTTAGCTGAAAGAATAAACTTGTTGGAGTTATGGCCTTGTAACACTGACATGTTATAGCTCTTGCTCACAATGGGAATGAAAAGAGCAATATGACTCTAAGATCTTGGCGTGCATAGAATCATGGAAACCCTAGGACAGTTATGAGGAGGATTGGTGTATATATGAGAGCTACCGAGAGGTTTCAGGGTTACCTCTAGTCAGGGTCGGTGATTGTTATTGTTATTGAGCTCGATTGGGTCTCATGACTAGATGATTGGGCTAGGGCGATGTAATTTTATGTGTATGATGATTTGAGCTCGATGATTAGCCCTCTATGGGAAGGTTAAGGCCAATAGAGGGCATTGGCCTAAATCCCTTTGTAACAATCTTAAACTTTCAAAAAATAAAATAAAATAAGAAAAAAAAAAAAAAAAACTTTTAATACATGATAATTCGTTTGAACATGATGGTCCAAAGGGACCATCGTTACTTTTAAAAGCTTTTGGTTTAAAAGCTTTATTGCTTCCTTGCTCTTGCCACGTCCACTAAAGGACGTGGGCTTTAGGCGTTTAAAGCGTAAGCTAACGCTCACACCTGTAACGTAATAAAAAAATAAAATAATATATTAGTAGAATTTAAATTCAGAGAGGTGAGGACTCCTAATTTCGAAAACTGATGAGATTTTTCTCTCTGGTCGAACACAGTGAACTCCTCTAACCGAATTTTTATCGGAAGCTCCCTCTCAAATATTTGTGTGTAAGTGACATCGTCTTCCTGAAAAATAGTCTGTTTTTAATAAATAGTGATATTTCCATCCAAGATCTGTATTTTATAAGTTTTGTGTGTAAGTGATTTCATTATCTTGAAAAATAATCCGTTCTTTTTAAAAATGAAATGAAATAATTATTTCTGCTTATTATCATGAATTTTAGGCACGATAAATTTTATGCGCAAGTGACCTCATTATTTTGAAAAATAATCTGTTTAATAAAATTGTGATATTTTAACTATGTTAGAAATTTTAAATGCTGTAAAATTATTAGAAATAAATACGATATTTCTGCTGTTAGTAAAATTGTAAGATTTCTTTCTACTATTTTTGAATATTTAGACATTGTAAATTTCATGTGTAAATGACTGCCTTATTACTTAAAAATTGATATTTTTGCAATTGATTATAGCATTGTTGTGAAATGCTTATTTGTAAATTGATATCCCATAAATTGTGATAATTCCGTATTCTTGAATTTCCATAAGAGTTTTTTTTTTTATACATATTAAATTGGCAATTATGCTAGAATGTCTTTACAAATTGTTAGCTTTCTAAATTTGAGCCCAAAATATTTGATTGGTTATTTTTGAAATGTTATTGAAAGTGACTGTTATTAATGGTTTCAGTGAAATTCATATTAATGATTTCAGTGATATATTGAGTACATGATATTTGCTGCTTTCGAATGTTGAAAGAGATTTAAAAATAATTTAAGTATGCAAGTGGACTCATCTGGTTCGCCGGTGAGGTATAAATGGACCTATCCGGGACGTCGGTAGGGATTAAGTGGACTCATTCGGTAAGCCGATGAGGTATAAGTGGACTTGCAGGGATTAAGTGGACCTATCTGGGATGCCGATAAGGATTAAGTGGACCCATCAGGACGCTGATGGGGTGGGTATATAGGTGACCTACTTGGGACGCCAGTAGGGTATTTTGTGAAATCCTTTGAATTATGCACTGCCGTTAAAGTGTTATATGCATTTCAATTATTTGGATTATACTTAATTATGCATTTATTGAAAGTGAAACTGTTCATGCATTTCTGTTAATAGATCTCCTTTTTGAAAATATTGATGTCTTTCAACCATGATTATTTTTAGGATTATGATGATCACTTACTGAGTAGCCAAACTCATCAAACTATGGTAAACATTTTTTCAAGATAACTGCGGACTCATTTTGAGTGCTAGTCAAGATCAACCTTGGAAGATATTGTTGTTGTGCTAGCTTTCTTTATTTACTTTATAAGACCTCGTCACTGTAAATTTGTCCTATCAAGAGATGTATATATGTTTTGGACTGTCACATCTCAAGAATATCTGTATTGGAATTTCTTGGGGTGAAACAAATTATGGTATCAGAGCAATAGGTTTAAGATTCTTAGGAAATTTAAAAAGAATGTACTTAAAATCACATTTATTGTGTGTACAGACTGGGACAAAGTCAAGATCCAGAATAGCTGAAGCCAATATGGAAAGAATTTACAAAGCCTTGGAAAATATGGTTGCTCTAATGCAACATCAGATGGTAAACAACAATCCACCCAAGCAGTCAGTTACAGGAAATGGTGGAAGTAATATCGAACAACTTAAGAAATTGAACCCACTTTTTTTTAAAGGTGCTGTAAACCCACTGGAAGCCGAGGGTTGGATTATGCAATTGGAGAAAATATTCGAGGTAATGGAATGTCCTAATGATAGGAAAGTGGCCTTGGCAGTCTTTATGTTAGAAGGTGAAGCACAACACTGGTGGCGAATGGCAAAAAGAGTATTGGTCAAAGAAAATAAACCCTTGACTTGGGAAGTATTTCTAAAGGCATTTAATGAAAAGTATTTCTCAGATTTTATTCGAGACTGAAAAGAAATGGAATTTCTAGAATTAATCCAAGGAAATGGGACAGTAGCACACTACGAGGCCAAGTTTACTGAATTGTCCAGGTTTACACCACATATGATTAACAATGAGGCAAGAAAGGTGAAAAAATTTGAAAGAGGTCTCAGGCCAGCTAATGAAAGCAGGATATCGATCTTAAAATTGAGAACTTATGCTGAAATAGTGGATTGAGCCCAAAGTGTCGAAAAAGATTTCGAAGATTACCAAAAGACGAAAAATCAGAAAAACCATGTTAGACCCACACCATCTAATCGACAACAGTTTGAAAGGGTAAACAAGAAGCCAAGGCCCTTGCCACTCCAAAGCCCAATAGAACCATGTAGAAAATGTGGGAAAAACCATGGATCAAGCCCTTGTTATAAGAATACCGGAGCCTGTTTTAAATGTGGAAAATTGGGACACCAAATTAGACAATGTCCTAGTTTACAGATGCAACAGCTTCCAAAGCAGGGAGAGATAACTCAAAAGCCGCAGAAGAAGGGAAAAGTAATTGCAATCACCGAGCAAGACGCTCAGGCCTCAAAATCAGTGATGTAAGGTACTCTTATTATCTTCCAAAAAGTAGCTCATGTTTTGATTGATCCTAGATCTACTCATTCATTTGTGTCATCACACTTTGCATGCCACTTAAAGGTAGAACCAGAACAATTAAAATACAATCTTGAGGTAGCCACACCGATGGGAAATTCAATTAACATCAATATAGTGTACAAATCATGTGCAATAAAGATAGAAGAAAAGGAACTGTTGGTTGATTTAATAATCCTGGAAATTCAAGATTTTGATGTAATCTTAGGCATGGATTGGCTTTCTGCATACCATGCAAGTATTGATTGTTATAAAAAAATGGTTACCTTTAGCATTTCGAATCAACCAGTATTTTACTTCAATGGTATCAAAGAAGACTCCCCATCATATTTAATCTCTTGTATTCGAGCTAATCACCTCCTTCAAAAAGGGTGTCAAGGCTTTCTTGCCTATATCAAAGAAGATAGGAAGGAAGAAATAAATTTGGTTACCACTCCGGTTATTCGAGAATTTCCCGACGTTTTTCCAGAAGAATTGTCAAGATTACTCTGACAGGAAAATTGAATTCTCCATTGAATTATTGCCAAGGGTAGCACCAA